CTCATTTGGGTTTTAGTTTACACTGGGAGAATGCATTTGTCAAAATCAAGTGGCAGATGTACCCTAAAGATTTATGTATTTCATTGTCTATAAATTTTACATCAAAAGAACAAGTGATAAATTAACATTCACCTCTAGTAAGTTACTTGCAAATTGAAAAATTTACAGGCAGTTTACTGACGACTGCAACTTTCTTTGAAAATTTTTTTAAAAACGAAGATGGATTGATGGACGGAAGGATGGATAGATATGTAATGAACAAGTACAATCAAATGTTAATCGTAAAATATAAGTGGGTAGACGTCTGGATGTTCATTACAAAATTTTTTTGACTTTGCCAGCTAAGAGTGTTGAAAGTTTTGGGTTTATTCGGTAAAATTTTCCCTGACTTCCTTGAAGGTTGGAGTAAAATTTAAAAATTCAAGGGAAGAGATAAGAGGATCGACTAGAAAAAATGTTACACTCTTTTACATTTTTACTACAAAAAAAACCTACATTTTTATTAGAATCAAAAACTGGAAAGTGGAGCTGTGCTGCAAAGGTCTCAGCTTGAGCATAAACTATTCACCTAAAAATTCAGGACCTACTGAAGAACCTAGTACCTGCGTGCTTTACACCCTTCTCCATTTTCGTTTGCCCCTTTCGCTGGGCATTGGAACCTAGAAAAATATGAAAGTCCTCAACATAACCCCTCCACCCCCAGCACACTTCCTGTCCTTGAGCCTTGAGAGGTAACTTTGAGCTAAAAGTACTGTGAGCCCTGAATAGGTGGCCAGTGGGGTGCAATGTCATACCAGGTTAAGGCAAAGGTGATCTACCAAACTTTAGCTGCAGAAACCATGTTTCTGCTCCCCCCTAAAAAAAACACATTCTCTACTTTTTTTCAATTGCGTTGCTTACATATCAGATCGCCACCATTAGTCCTGGAAGGGATGCTGGAGGGCATATAGTTCAATCCTCTCACTTTACAGGAGAACTGAACCCAGAAAGGTGAAAGGACCTTCTCAGGGCCATTGAAGAACAGAATTGCAACTAGAAAGGTATCCTCAATAGTCAGTTCATGTTAATATTCAAAACTCAAAAACATGAAATTCTTCCTTCTCCTTCCAGGCACTGATGTTATTTTTACTATCGAGAAGCATAAGCTGATTATTTCTGCCCTTTGTGATAATTGTACACCTCGGATGGCGATAGCTCGACTAGAATACGAAGGACCCTCCCTCTATATAGTCTTGTCTGAGGAACCGGTAACGTGACATGGACTTGGTCACCTGTTTAGATTCTCCTGAGGAAGTTTCTGAAAATCAGTAGTATATGAAGGTTGAGGTCATCAGAGAGTCAGCATTGTCAGTGAAGTTCCCAGTTGAGAAAAGCCTAACTCAGGAACCATGATTTAGGCTTTAGACAAAGACGGATCTCTTCACTCAGCCCTGAGGCGCTTGTGAGAGACCAAACCACACAGACTGATGCTGGGAGACAGAATCTCCTCCAGGGCCGGCCTTGTGCTCAGTCTCCCACCTCATTCCTCCCAAAGAGACTCCTCCTTTCTCCTCTTCTACTTAGGGCATTTCCTAAGGAAAAACAATTACCTAATGTCTGTATAGGACTTCATGGTTTACAAAAAGATTTTTTAAATACATCTCATTTAGTCTCGTAACTACTTTGAGAAGCTTATTCTTTTCATAGATGAAAGAAAATTTTATTTAGAGGCTAAGGGATAATATTCAATTCCTATTATGCATCCAATCCTTAACTAAGAGCTCACCCTTTATCTATTCCCAAACAATCCCGTGAGTATTAGCTCTACATATGTACAGATCAAGGCAGACTTACTAAAAGCCACTCTGCTAAGGAGACTCCAAGCCCAGTGCTCCTCTATTATACACAAATGTTGAACAGACTCTGGGGTCCAAATGTCTAGGTTTTGTAGTGCAACCCTCCATTCAGTAGCTGTTATGTGACCTTGACTAAGTTACTTAAACTCTGAGCCTTGGATTCCTTTATCTAGACAATAGAATTACCTCTTAGAGTTAAGTAAGTGGTGTGGTGTGCTTGTAAACATTTAACAACAAGCTCTCTGGGGAGGGAAAAGGTATGTATGTATGTGTGTATGTATTTATTATTTTAGCACAACTTATGAAATATACTCTTTACTGTAAAGTCCATATAACCAATTCTCACAGAATGCATTCCTTTATTTTTGTCAAAGTTGAGCTGACATGTTTAGTTCTGACATGAATGTTGATCGACATTTTAAGTACGTTAAAAAACAAAAATGAAACAAAAAAACTATGTAGGAACTTGACTTATTTATCAATGATGTGAGCGACTCTTTTACCAAATCAGGTAATAGTTTTCAAACACTGGACAGTTGATCTTCAATTTTCTGTGCTATTTGCAATGTTTAACGGTTAGAGACATGAAACACGTTTAATCTGTATTAACATTTTCTCCATCACTTTAAGTCTAGACAATCAACAAAACAATGAATTAAGCCGATTCACAGCATTCGTAGCTTTCCTTGCTATAAATAATCCCACCAATGTGCCATCTCTTATCAAAGAGTTGGAAACAGAGACATAGGAACACACCATTATAAAGTATTTCCACCCTAAACATAAAAATTAGACCTCGTGAGCCCTTACAAGGCAGCTCCAGCACACCATGATTAGGAGAGCAGCTGCCGGCAATTACTAGTCAAGATGCTGTAGTTGGTGGCCATTTGCTCTATATGCAACTTCATCGACTGTCTGGATCAGTGCCTTGGATTTTCCTGGAACCTCATTTTGCATTTTGGGTTTTTGAAAAAAATCCCAAGACATAGATGTTTAATAAATGTGTGTAAGTAATGAATAACTACACCATCAGTCTATTCCTCAAAAATCTCGTGAGATAAAACAGCTTAGAGCAGCCACTGTAAGGTGTGAAAAGATGATCAAGAGAGAATGAAAGTATAGGTGTTTTCCACTTAGGAAACTACCCTACGTGCATTTAACTGAACAGGAAATGGAACGGCTATTGTAGGGGGAAAATAGATGAAAACTTACAAGCAAAGCAACAAATAGGAAAATAAAGCAATAGGAAAGATAAAAATAGAAGAGAGAAAAGCGTAACTTAGAGACTTTGGAAGATCATATGCAATTCTACAGACACTGGTAAGAAAATGAAGGGGAAAAAATTTAGGGGAAAAAACACCATATTCGCCTCAGGTATTTTTGTGAGTTTTTAAAGAACAGAAAACACTGAGCTTATCCTCTTTAGTAATTTATATTAAAATGTAAGAGAAATACTAATTTTAGGAACATGGGCAAAAAGGAAAAAAAGTATACACTCTAAAAAAGATCCTCTCAAAATAAAAAATAAAATAAAAAAAATCAAACCATTACTATAAAAGACTACACCAAGAACTGTATTTTCCCTATCCCCTTTGCTAGAAGTCAACAAGAGCATCTAGCATTGTTCACGCAAACATCAGACCAGAGCATCCTAATGCAATCCTCACCCCTTCCAATCGTAGCAGAACAGTAACTCTTAAGAGCTCAAATTCGAAAAAGAAATGGCAATTGAAAGAGGTGATGGTGGCAAAAAATCTTTTGAATGGGTTTTTGAGTTCCCTCCTTCTCGGGGAGAATGCTCACTAGGATTTGTAATTAGAGGCTGACCATGGGAGCCCCTCACAGAGTTATGTGGGGAATGTGCCCCATAGAAAGCATTCTGGAGAGATTCTAGGCTTCCTCAAAGACTACCCTTATGGCTCCCAAACCCATTCGATCCAAAGTGTTGTTTTAAGTGGATCCGATACTCTGGTGTCTGAAAGTCACCCCAGAGCAATCAACTTCGATCGTGAAGGGCAACTCTGACGTGGCTACTAGGACACAGGCCATAGTTCCACAACTCTTAGACAATTAAGAGCAATGTAATAAATTTTAACAGGCCCAACTTATTAAAAAATAAAAAATAAAAATAAAAACCAGATCCATGAATTGGCTGTTTACTCACATGCAACAGCTCAAAAATTCAGAAGGAACTGAATCTATTTTGTTTTCCATCACCCACACGTTCAGAGTTCAATGTTTCCTTATTAATAGTGTAAAAACAGGGCAAAGTACAATGTAAATTTTACAATCATCCACAGAATATGATCAACATCCTGATCAACATCCGAAGTTGATTACTTTTTCCCAGCAAGTACCCTGTCCAAGGAGCCCCAGGAAGTGCTCAGCACAGAAAAAAGGTGGGGTTACCTGGTGGAGGAAGTTTGGGAAAAACTGCACCCCACTAAACCCTTCCGTAAAAGATTCATGACTCAGATTCGCTCATTAGAGAACAGGATTGACATGGACTTCTCGGTGACCTTGTTTTTCCCAGCATTTCCAAATTTGCTTAAGCAAGAAGTCCATTTCTCCCACCTAACATCAATATTCACAGAGAAGTGGTGGATTTCACTGGCCTGGGAAACCACCACCGCGAATGCTGATGCAAGTAGCTCCCTTAACTTTGCCAGCATGGCGTGACTCCTCAGAAAGGGAAAAGGAGAGGGAATGTCTTGCTGAGGCGCTTTATCCCATTCGTGGCCAAGACTGATTTTTCACTAGATCAAGTACCTACCCTTCCTCTTTATCTCCTTCCTAGAAAGATTACCTTATCAGATACCACAAAGCCCCAGCAGCTGGCATTGTAGAAAAAGGCAATAATCCTGCTGGAATCACTAAACAAACTTCAAAACCTTCTTTCAATAAAAGCTCTGCCTATAGACATTTCCCTATGCTAAACTGGAGATTTACATAAGAGATCCTGCTATGCTCAAGGGAAAGTAGTATGTTAAATTATAAATGGTCTTACAAAAATGTCGAGATAAAAAGTCACCTAAAAGCGCCTTTCGTTTCTAAATTTTGATTGCCCCCACCCCCACCATTACGATCGTTTTAGGCAAAAAGGAGGGGGTATCCATGTCCTCATCAATAGCAATTGGTAGAGATAAAAAGATACCAAAAACCATACTTGGTTAGAAATATTTATTATCCCCGCCCCCCATGTACAGATTACTTTTCAGAAACATGAAGGTATTATCCATGTCCTCATCAATAGCAATTGGTAGAAAATAAACTTAATTCATATCTTGTCAACAATATATTTGTCATTTTTTTTAAACAATAGCCGTTTTATTTTTCCATGTTAGTTCAAGAATAAGCTTCGAGTTTTATTTTGGACCAAATCAAGACAATCTTTGTTTTTAGGTCATTTCCTGACAGAGCCCCTCCCCCCAAACCCCTAAAAAAAATTTCATATCCTAAGCGATAAACTCCTCTTGTACATTCAGCAAACTTTATATTGGAAAAGAAAAAGAATAATCAATAGGTACTTACTCTCGTGCACAGTAATAAACCTAGCTGAGTTTCTACACCTTGCTTTGCAATGTTTACATGAAATAAATCATATCTTATCAAGTTACAATGGTAATTTCTTGAAATGCAGATATGAAAGTTATATTTAATCCACTGAAATTTCCTTCTAATTTTTTAATCTGTAATTAAACCATCACCATTAAGAAAAGCTTCATCCCAAGATGTTTCCCCCTTTCCCTCAGCTATTTCTCTCTAAAAGCTTGAATCCTCTCAGATCGTGTAGAGATACATTAAAAGCACAGGAAAAAAAAGTTTTAGCTTGTTGACATAATGCCCTTAAGTTTGCTGACATAATGCCCGTATTTTAACTTTAAAATGTAAAATCAGAGTTAAAGCATCACTTAATACAGTACGTTATTAATCAATCAACAGTGTCCCACCCACTTGGAAGTTTTCTAAACTGGTTGTCTTCTCTGCATTTAGTAAGTTTATGACTCAATCAAAGAATGTGCTTGTAATAGGCTGCTGGTTTAATTTGAGAATTAGAAGTTTCAATATTGGGCTATTTTCAAATGTAGAAATGCTATGAGTGGCAGATGAACTATTAATTGTTTCCCATTACCTAAAGGAAGAATTCATTCAAATAAAATTTTACAAGACAAAATGCAAATCTATATACCTATACATAGATGTATACGTGTATATATCGAACCTAACTAAGGTTTTATAAGCAATGCTAACATAGTTCTGGTTAAACATTCCTAAAGACTTAGTAATTATTTTAAAGATACATGTTATAAAGAGGCTTATGCAAAAGGCAAAAATTAAGAATCGACATGATCTTTGAGGTTTTCAGTATTACTTCAAAAAGCTGTTTCTATCCCCCACAGAAGAAAACTATGCATTTATCTGAGGAAAAAAAAAAATTATAAAAAGATAATGCTATCATGTAAAGAATTCACAAAAACTATACTGTATATCCCATAAAAGTCATACCTATTTAAGGTAAATCACAATTATGGTTTATATTGTATTACAGACATCACCATCACCTTCCCTCTTTAATAATGAGAGGGTTTAACTTTTTTTTAAACTTACTTAACTAGTGCCCCAGAAATTCAAGTCCCTGTAGCAACAAGTTAAACAAGATTACAAAATAAGGCATTCTGCTCACATGTCATTAAAGGAACAGGCTGAGTATAGTAAAGTGGGCTCTTTTCATTTTCACAATTTTATATAATCCAAAAAAATTATATAGAAGGCAATCTTTACCAAAAAATCCCAATTAATTGCTATTTTCTAGGTAAACAGAAAAACATACATAAAATCCTCAACTTTGGCTATTTCTCCTACTGCCATAAACAGAGGTTAATCTTATCTATTCGATAAAGCCCAAGTTAGAAATGTGAATGAAATGTCTTAGACTATCCCATTTCTAAACCTGTAGGTCATGCACTAAATGAGTTTCCAAATTATAGACTAAATCTAATTTGACAAAATCCCTGTAGTGTTATTTAGGGAAAAAAAATGGACTCAGAACACATTTTCATTCTCTTTCGCTCTCTCACACTCACACACACGCATGCACACACACACCAACATAGTAAACGGTTTTCTTAAACATTGACTGGTTCTCCAAAAGAATAAAAATATTTATCATCAAGCTGCAGCATGTGTATAAGGGGCAGCAATGCAACCTTTTTTAGGTAAGAATCTGAATAAATTTTTCAACAACTAGTACCTTGAACCAAAGATTTTACTAAAGATGAACGCTAAAATATGTATTTTTTGAAATTTGGACTCGATTGCCTGTTGCACTTTTATATTAAGTGTTGCTTAAACAAAAATAGAACATAAATTCAATATTCTACTGTCTAAACATTTAATGCAATGGTTATGTCATCAACAGGTAAAATGCACCTAATTGGGTCTTTTGACACCTCTTAAGTTTATTGTATGATAAAGTTCTTCACAGTTTAAAATATTGTGAAGAAATATATTTATGTATAGCTATATTCACATACATATTATGTACACATACTATGTATTTGATGTACCCATAAACTTTGAATATGTGTGTGCCAGGACAACACCGCACACATATGCAGGAACCCTGAATAATAGATTGGTGTGGACTGGGAAATGATTTCTCAGAAAGGCTTACAAATAAGATTATTATAATGAATAATTATAACAACAAAAATTTTACCTTATTTACATAGTGCCTATCTCCCAAGAGGTAAATATGCTTTATAGACATTTTTTATTATCTCTGTGAGGTGGGGCATTGGGAACACTATCAATTCTCATTTTCCACAACAAACTAACCCGCCCAGGATCACTCTTTAATGGCGGTAGAGTAAAACAGAGACATGGAAACCTCCTAAAAGTCTCCAATTACTAGATCAAATAGTCTTGCGGTGAGATCAAATTTCCATCACACAATAGAACTTCCACCACAAAAGATTAATTTTTATGTCCTCATATACTTGTGATTGTGCGTTATAGTTATACCACAGGGAGATCGAAATGGTTTTTGGTTTTGGCAGATGAAATAAAGTCTAACATTCAGTGTAACTATAATTCAGTGTAACTTCTCCAGTTTAAGTGCGACACAGCTGATTGGTCTATCATGGAAATGTGGTCAATGTCTAATCACGGCTGAAGAAATCTCCACCCAAACAGCTACTGCATGATCACAGAGATGGCCTACAACCTCGCATTGTCTTAAAGGTCTTTTCTATGTCCACGTATGATATACACATATAAATAAGCATTTTAGCACGAAATGTACAGTTAGCATGAATCAGTTTGTGTTTAAATAAACAAAGGCCTTAGGGGTGAACTTTAAAGGCCAAGAGCTCTTCAGAGTGCATGTTGTTTAAAGATCGAAGATCTGGCAACTTTAGAAGAAGTTTTGTAAAAATAGAGGCCTCGTTTGGATGGTTTTTCATTATTAAGGTCCTTAGTGCACGGATGAGGGTTTCCTGCAAAGCCTCCACAGAGTTGACGTTTTCGATTCCAGATCGATCTAATGGAGAGTAAGGAATAGAGAGATATGAAGGAGAGGATATATTATTAATATTAAATATAAATATAACTTATTCATAAATTTCAATAAATTCAAAACAAGGTTTTATACATTGGAACAAAGGCAAAAGATAACTGGCGAAGTTTTAAAAATCCCAGTGGCAAATTTTTGTAGCTATTTATTATTCCAGAAAGATATTTTTATAAATATATCACAGTACACTTGATATATGAAAATTCTTTAGTGTTTAGGTATTTCTGTTCACAAAAAATCTAAAGGTTCTGATTTTTTAAATTAGATGTCATCTACTACTTCCAACTGCTTCTAATTGGCAAAATAAAATGAATAATGTAGTTTAGAAATATATTTTTATCTCATATGTAATATATCCACATTTGTATGTTATCATGTGTGGCAGACAGCCTCTCAAATAGCCTCCAATGATCCCCACATCCTGGTATCCTTGTCCTTGTGTATCTTTCTCCTCTTGAGTGGGCCAGACTTACTGACTCACAACTAATAAATAAAATCTTAGATTACAAAAAAAACTGTAGCTTCCATCTGAGGCATTCATTCACTCACAGAGCCAGATGCCATGTTGTGAGCTGCCCTATGGAGCTGTCCAAATGCTAAGGAACTGAGGCTGGTCTCCAGCTAACAGCCAGCAAGGAACTGAAGCACACAGCCCAGCAACTTGCATGAAACTGAATCCTGCCAACATCTGCCATGTATAAGCCTAGAAGCAGATCCTTCCCTAGTAGAGCCTTCATATGAGACCACAGTCCAGCCCACAGCTTGACTCCAACCTCCTAAGAAACCTACAGCCAGAGGCATGCATCTAAGCCACACCCACATTCCTAACCCTCAGAAATTGAGAAATGTATGCATTTTTAAGTTATTAAGATATAGTGCAATTTGTTATGCAGTAATATAGCTAATATACTATACAACTTTAATACTTAGTTAGAAGTAACCTGCATTCACTTTCATTTAGCATACTGTATTCATTAAGCTCATCGAACAAATGTTAATAAATTAGTAATTTAGTATAAACCAGCAATAAAAGAAACTATCTTAAAATTAGCCAAACCGATGTTTGCCCACTGACTTTTTTCATCAACAACAGTTATTTCTTCCCTTCACAACGGGAGGCAGAAGTATGCAAGAAATATTCAATAGCTTCCAGTATAGGGAGCTGTAGTTAAGAAAAAGACTTCTCCAAGGAAGCAAAATTTTCTGGCCATTTACCCCTTTTCTCATTTTTACGAGACTGAAAAAGTTTTCCATTTTAACCGATAGCTGAAAAAGGCCATCTGCAGTGCAAATACTTAGAATAAGGACTAAAATTTAATAGTAAAGTGGAAAAAGTTTGATTAACTCTAAATGCAGAAAAAAATGATGAAAATAGGTTTATCTTACATTTAGTAAATTTGGATTATTATCAAAAGTATGTAATAGGGAGAAGAAGGGGTAATAATTTTTCAGACAAAATTGTTAAGACAGGCAAAAGACCTCTTCTCTTGACGTTTGACCTCGGCCATACAGCCAGAAGGGTCATCTTTGCAAAATTAAAGCCTTCAGTAATGCTTCTTATCTCCCCTGCCTTTACTATTCAAGTAATTGTTTTAACATCCTTGCAATTTACTAATTCATTTACCGAACACTAATTGAATGTAGGTGGTTACTGTGATATGTGCTAAGGAATTAACAGTGAGCATAACAAGCTAAAAGTCTTTCCTTTAGAGAGCTTACATTTTGGCAGAAGAAAATTGATTTCCATCTTATCATCAGTAATGCACAATACCAACAACTGAGAAAGAATGACAGTGATTCCCACAAACAAAATAATCTAGGTGGGCAAAGAAACAAAAAGTGGGGAAGGATATTTGAGTTAGAAACAGTATTACAACAGGTGGTTGGTCTTCTGGTGAATATCTTGTGTTTGAATAAGGTACGCTTCTCTATACAACTCAGAACTTCAAGGATATAGACTCCTACACCTGAAAATGTAAACGTTATTAAATTTTTCTAAAACTTCAATATCTAAATCCAGGATTTCATGATTTCAAGACCAAACATCCTAACTACAAATCTAGCTAGATCGTAAAACAACAATCCTCTTGAAATTGCAACAATACAATACATGTACTGAAATGGAACTTCATCTTCTAAGTGATGCACTAAATGCTACACTATACAGTTTAAGTCATGCTCCATCTATTTTCTACCTTCTTAGCTGGCGCTTCATCCCTCCTCTCCCAAGCCCGTACTCCTCACCAAATCTCTTTATGTCATACTCATTTCCTACAGAAAGGAAGTTAAACTCCTTCGACAAAAACCTCTACAAGGGCAACTAAATCCCCACCTAGATGAACCATGGTCTCACACCTATATGCCAGTCCCTAATCTCCCATTGGCAATGACTGTTAACATTTCACACAATCTGAAAAATTTACTTCCCAGGTATAATTCCCCTACCCTCCATAGTATAAGATTTTTCCAGTCTCATGGGAAAATAATCATGTTTGAGATTTCTCCCTCCCTTAGCAGATAGAGCTATTCTGTTAACAATCAGTATAATGGAAAGCCTTTGGAGCTAGACTAAAGGAATTCAAATGCCTGCTCAGCCAATTATTAAAACTTCGACCCTGGGCAAATTATTTAATCCTTCTGTTCCTCAAATTCTTTGCCTGTGTAATTGAAGACACTCTGTCCTAGCTCACATTGGAGGTCTACTGTGGAGATAAAACTACATAATAAGATCTAGAAATTAGCTAGCATTTCTTCTAACAACAACCAAAACAAAAACCAGAAGGCAGCTGTAGATTCCAAGAAAAACAAAAAGCTATTTTAAATATGATGCAAACTATAATTGTGAGCAATTAACAGAAAATATAAATGAATAATCCATTTGTTATCTGATACTTGGAACGTCCCTCCTGAAGGTAGCACAAATTTAGGGCAGAGATTTATATTTCCTTGTCTACCATTTCAGCCCCACTGTGGGCACTATTTACATAATCATAACACTGTAAACACTAATATTTTATTTTTCAATTTTTAGAATCAACTGATAAAATATGGAAAATAATCACAGCTATAGAAAGGAATGTAAATATTTTAATTATTGACAATATAAAAGAAATGGTATAGCGAAAGAAGCCAGGATATGAAGAAAAGAAGGTACTATCTCCCTGTATAATGAGAAAATTCTATCTAAACTGAGATAATGTAAACGTGAAGGATCAAAGAATGTGAGCATATTAAAATTATAAATAAAACCAATAAAGTAACTGAAAAAAAAAATGAAAATTGAGAGGAGAAAGTGAGAGGGTACTTTTATTTATGAGTTCTACCTACTAAATAAAAAGAGGTATAAGCATAGTATTTATAGCTGGATGGGCAACCATCAGAACAATCAAAAAGAAAGATGGTTAGAAACCTAGTTCTCTGAAGAACAGGTTGGGAATAGGAAAAGAAAAAAGCAATTTTTCATTTAATATTCTTCTGTAGTTTTTGAATTTTGTTTTCCTGACTAGATTCTGCTTTAAAAATAACAGTTCTTTTTAAGTGGTAAAGATTTAAATTTGACATGAACACTATCATACATTTAAGTGAAAATATATTATTTTAAAATGCATGGAATTGTGCCTGTATATGCTGCTTGTATATCTTCATATATAAACATAATAAAAATAAGAATGCATATATTCTTTTATAATCTGTTTTCCACTTAGTATGTCAGACATTTCTTACATACCATATCTCAATAAGCAGGCAAGTGGATAAATGAATGGATAGGTGAATGGATAGAGAGAAATCTCTAATGTTAACAGTGATGGTTTTTGGTAGTGATATTATCATCTTTATTTTCATCTTAAAATGTTTTAATTTTTCAAAGAACCCATATTACTCTTATGGTCACAAAACAAGTCTTTTTTAAAAGGAGGTTAAAACAAAATAAAAAGTAACATTCCTAGTGGAAAATACAAAAGAAGTAAGTAGCACAGTTCCTAGCACAGAGCTCCCCTTCAACCCTCTGCCTTCATTTCTTCCTCTGAACTACCTCTGGGACAGTGTCCCTCCTCCCCCAGCTCCTCTGCTACAACCTATTTCAGAAGAGTTCATTCCACTACCTCATTCCTGAAGTTATTTCAGCAGTCTCTCAACTCGACTCTCCAGCTCTCATGACTTATCTGTCAAATCTACCCAGGATAAAAATGCGGACCTGATATTAAAGCATCGCTGTGTTAATGCCTGATCATTCCTCCACTGAAGAAGTTACACTGACTTTCCACTGCCCCACATTTCAATTAAAACTCTGCTTAGTTCTCATAGCTGTCATTCCATAACCTGCAAACCCTAACTTGCAAACCTTCTGTACCCCTCCTCTTCGATGTACACATCAGGCTGTGGCCTCTTCCCCTACCCTATCTCCTGTTCTCGCACATCACTACATCATTTTTTTGCTGGGAAAACCTAATAATCCATCCTTCAAATTCCAGCTCCACTTCTATATTCCCCACAAAGCCTTCTCAGATGATTTCATCTTCCTTCCTTTCCTTCCTTCCTCTTTACCTCAGTCAGAATCACAGTTTAGTACATAAAGCTTTTTGTTAGTTGTCTCTAAAATTGAATATAAATGCTTTGAGAGCAAGCTTATGTCTTAACACTTGCTCTCTCCCCACTCCCCCCAAGCACCGAGCACATAAAGCATATTCATCATATAAAGCAATTAACAAGTATAGATTACCTTTAGTTGCGCAATAATAGATTTAATCTGATGTTAACTCAAACCATTACTAATTACTTATCAAGAGACTCTGTGAAATGGTAGAGGTATTACAAGGTTCCTGAGAGAACAGGAAGTTACTGTCCCCTTACTGACACAGTCCTTCCACATGACTGCCACATAAGCACACCTTTAGCTATCCAGGTAGAGCTGAGCAGAAAAAGTAGCCAAATTATGCTTCCGAATGGCATAAGTCTTTATTTATACCACTGACACATAAGCCCTTTATGACAAAGAACTTACTCTCCTTAAGAGTTACTGATTTATAGTTTAGCCACATAAGCAGGGGTCAGAACTCATACTTTCATAGTGCCTAACACTTTTATACAGTAGGAAGCAAATGGAAAGCTTAAAGCATATCATACCAAAATACTGTAAAATTCTCAACAAATGTTTAAACTAAAATTAGAGATGCTTAAAAAGTGTCTGACACTTATTTACATGCCTCCAGGAAAGTCACTGTGTCTCAATTTTAAATTTGTTATTGGGAGTAATTTTTGCCTTAATAGTCTGAATTGAAATACTTTGGTCAGAAATAACTGGAATATAATGCAAGGTGGTAAGGAAATTGAGAGAAACATCATCAATTGCCCTCAATATTAGGACTCAAAAAATGTTGGTGACTCATTCAAGGTACAATCCCTGTCTTTCAAAGGATGGGAAAAGTAAGACCCAAAGGGATAAAATTACTTACATCCAAGTCACACATAAAACTCAGTGGCGAAGCTGGGGGAACCCCTACAACTCGTAATTCACCAATTGTAACAAATCATACTAATATATTTTGATTTCAACATTTTCAAGTAACCCACATAATATTTTAATTAAAACTTAGATTCATATTGGAACTACCTACCTGGAGATAAACCGTGTTGTAAAAATTAAATCCAAGTAATAACGATTTAGACGCATAAAAAATTATTAGAAAGAACTAAAGACTAAGAGTGGTAAATACGAGGCCCAAATTTAAACATCATTTATTTTTATAAAGTGCTTTTGACTTTTACTGTCATGATAACAAAAATTAATTGTTCAAAAACAGATTAACATAGTTTACCATCTTCCTTAATGCCTTCTTCCCTCCACAGAGCTTGCTGGAATCTAGTTACCTGCCAACTTCTTCACAGTTGGTCACTATATTATAGGTGTGGCACAATTTTGAACCAGCTGGCTTACCTGCAGATACCAGGACAACTGCTGTAAACAAACTCATCTCTTCGTCACTAAGTTGGAGGGCATTCAGCTTCTCACTAAACTCAAACATCGAGTTTAGCAGATCCCCGGCTCCCATTGAGTGTAAATCATCCACACTATACTTCTTTCCACTTAAAAAGGTGACAGTACGCTCTTTTGCATCAAATAATGACGCAAACCGTACCATTAAAACCTGGAAAAAGAAAAAGATTTAAATGTATTTGGAATTCAATAGTAATGCTAAGAAATAACTTAGCATTCGAGTCAGTAAAAAGCACTCTACATATAAAAGAAAGCTATAAAGGAAAAACTGAGTTTATTTTCACCCAGAATCATTTCCTTAAGGCAAATTCTCTACCAAAGCAATAAATATTCCAAGAACATCAAAAAAATTCTAGCCACCAGTGGCAGAATGCTTAAGTCCTATGATACTCTGAAACTCTATTAATAAAGATTCTGAAATGCAAATACAAAATTAAAGCAGGCAATAATGCCAAGAAATTTGAAACTGGGCCTTAGCAAAAACACTAAAGAAACTAAGCTACTAAGTCACATGGTCTCCAAGCCCCAAGTAAAAAGAGCAATATTTCAATGCAGTAACACTTGGAAACATCAAAACACCAAATGGAGCCAAGGCAAATGCAGGGGATGAACTCTAATTAGACTACTTCAAGAAACCATAACCCCAAGAGATAATACACAAACTATCACAGTAAAAGTGTTTTAGACACCAAGTTATAATCAAAATCCAAACCAAACCGGTCAACACTGCTTACCTACAGCCTCCCTCCACTATATCAAATGGTGACATCTGTCACATCTCTCTCATAACCAGCGGACACTAACCAAACACCTTCCCTGTGCAATGCTCCCAAGAATAGACTTGTTTTACCCAAGACAATCCAAAAGAGGGTGAACCTTCTATGCAGATGGTGCTAAGTCCAGAACACAGCAATCCCAAGACAAAGCACAAGGCAGAAGAACTCAAGTTTCTGGAGTCTGGGATTTGTGTTCTGATCCTATGTTATGAATTTACTGGTAATCCAAGAAAAGTCTCTTCACATCTCCGGGTCATGGTTACCTAACCTCAAAATGGGTGAATTGAACTTAATTACTGACGTGGCTTTAAATCTTAAACTGTTTTTCCTTAAACTGAAGATCTCAACCTATAGGTGTTACTTTTGAATTACATCACCACAGCTATTTTATTTATTAGTAAATATGGCTTCTCTGTTCTAATCCAGGTACCCCAGCAAAAGTTTGTGTGAGATGTGCACTGGCACAAGCAAAAACAGGAATGAGGAAAAAGAAATGAGGCAGGGAAGGAAAGAAAACCAATATTAGCAGTATTTTCTGAGCTTATCATCAAGAACACCTGAAGTTTTTGTACTGCAAAGGAAACCATCAACAAATCAAAAAGACAACAAACTGACTGGGAGAAGATATTCACTAATGATACCTCTAATAAGAGGTTAATATCCAAAATATATAAAGAACTCACACAATTCAACAACAAAAAAACAATCCAATTAAAAAATAGGCAGATGACCTGAACAGATATTTCTCCATATGAAAAGATGCTCAAAGTCACTAATCACCAGAGAAATACAAATTAAAACCACAATGAGAAATCACTTGACACCTGTCGGAATGGCTATCATCAATAAATCAAAGAACAAGTATTGGCGAGGATGTGGAGAAAAGGGAACCCTCACACATTGTTGGTGGGATTGCAAATTGGTACAGCCGCTATGGAAAACAGTATGGAGGTTTCTCAAAAAATTTAAAATGGATATACCTTTTGACCCAGCAATTGCATTTCTGGGTATTTATCCAAAGAAAACCAAAGCAATAATTTGTAAAGATCTATGTACTCCAATATTCATGGCAGCACAATTTACAATAGTCAAGATACAAAGCAAACTAAATACCCATCAAAAGACGACTGAATAAAGAAGTTATGGTTCATATATACAATAGAATGTTACTCAGCCATTAAAAACTGAAATCCTACCATTTGCAATGAATGACATGGATGGACCTAGAGGTTAGTATGCTGAGTGAAATAAGTCAGAGAAAGATAAATACCATATGATTTCACTTATATGTGGAATCTAAGGAACAAAAAAAACAAACTAATCAAAATCAGACTCAAATATAGAGGAAAATCTGGTGATGGACAGAGGGGAGGGAGGGCTGGGGGACTGAGAGAATGGGGTGAAGGGTTAAATAAATACAAATTAGTAGCTGACAGATGTCATGGGGATGGGGAGTATGGCATACAGAATGCAATTAGTATTAATTATCGGCTAGGTGGAGAGAAAGAACAATTAGGGGGATCATTTTATAAAACTACATAAATATCTAAACAATGTACTATATACTTAAAACTAAAAAAATTTTTTAAAATTAAAAAAAAAAAAAAAAAAAAAACTTGAACAGACACTTCTCCCAAGAAGACATATAAGCATTTATATTTCAAGTGCTAAGTAACTCTGGACTCAACTAGTCTTCTCCCAAAATCCTGAGATGGTCATTCTTTTGTTTGTAGTTTCAGCCTCTGGACTATAAACACTTATTTAGAAAAGAATGAAAATAAAACACTATATGTCCTATATCCATATTCAAGGTAAACAAAATCTACCTCAAAAGTTCCAGCCTTTAAAAGGTTGACCTGGTCATGCTGAGAGAGATCTCTGAATCCAGGAATACGCTTTGCAAATTCCACCACTTCTTTCACTGCTGGGGTGAAGCTCATTGAAAATTCTTCCCAGATTTCATGCCCCGATTTATGAGGATCCACATATGGAGACATACTCATTGGACAAACCTAGCGTGCACAAAACAGAAAGCTCTTAAAATGGGAGAGGTGGTAAAGAAATTTCAAAAGTGACATCTCAATTACTAGAAAAGCCAACATGAAAATAACCCTCAGATGCTACCGATTATAGCACGTTCTCTTTTGCTAATGGCCTTTTGATAGAAAGTCTCATAGAAACCTAATTTAAATAGCAATTAACTTGTTATCATGAAAGAGGTAGCCTAAACAAAAATGAGGTCCATAAGGAGGTATATTTCAAATACCTGTTGCACAGGTTTATTTTGTAACACTGCTGCCACTGTATGCTGGCTTTATGGTTTCCAAACAAACTCATACATATTTACTTGACTGCCAACCCTGTTACTTACAACAAATATTAAAATCACCATGTCTTAGGTGCGGAAATTTAACTCTAAAAGGTTTAATGACTTATCCAAATATAGCTAGAAGTCACAGGCCTAGAACCCAAGCCCACATATAGTTAATATTTCAAAACTCACTTTTCTTTAAATGAGCACAATTACAGTACTATAATTTCAAAGAGGAATTTTAAAAAAAAGTGATGCCTCACTTTTTTAAAAAGGTCCTAACCATTTAATTTCATAAACACTGACTTCCACTTGTTTAATTAGAGAACAATGACTGGAGATGATACAAGGTGGATCTTCAGAATGGGGATGGGGGAGGTAAAAAATAGGATGCCAAGAAGGTATAAAAATGTTAAAAAGATTATGAAATATGCACTATAAACTCTATTAATAAAATAAGCCTTTAAATTTTCACTAGATCCATAGGAGATCCAGGAATTTTGGAATGATTCTATAACCATGAGGAGTATCACAAAATTAGAACCTAAATTCTTACAGATTCTTCCCTCCTTAAGGCAGCCACAAAGTTTCATAAAATATAAGATCACCTTTCAGATCCATGGGATCAAATACTTGCAAGTGACCAAAAAATCTAATATAAGGACTGGGTTAGAGTCAACTATTTTGGGGGGAAAAAAAAAAAAGAAGAAGAAGGCTTTAATTACCTGGCTGTAGAAAATACCATGCACTATCAAAGGACCTCATGATTTAAACTGGATATGGTGTGGTACTGATGTTTTTGATGAAATTTTGGCTGAATATAAACACTGTACTTTCATGTAGATGGTTGTATTTGATGATTAAAAAAACCTGAATGATATAACATTAACTTATCTCATAGGATAAAGTCTGAGAAAATCCTTAGAAGCTAGCCTATTAAATTAAAATAGTCCTAAATTCTCACGCAATAAAACATCCATGTTCTATATCCAAAGACCTTTTGGCATTATAATGGTTAAAGAAAACTCTTTCCGTATAAACCACTGAATTACTGGCTGTGACAGGCTAAAAGATCAGCCCTAAGAGAAAATCTCAAAGCTAGTAGTGATTAATCAGAATGCTTAAATTTTGAAAGAGATTTCTAAAAATTAAAGGACCAATTCTGCATGATCCATATTTCACATAAAATCCTAATCCCAATCATAGTATCAATCTTATCACATGCTTGTATCTAATTCTTATAGGTCATTCGACAAATAATGTTTATTAAGTATTTGACCTAAAATACTGCATAAAACTGATTCTGTAAATCTCTTAGGTTTTCTGACACTCTCCTCCCACCCTCAAAGCTTGTATATCCCCGCATAAAAGAAAACCTTCAAAGCTTTCCTTGATACAAGGTGAGCAAAAAAAAAAAAATGATTTCACTATACCAGATGCATTCTCCCTCCATTGTTGCACAGGTAACTATTCTTGTTCTCATTCTGAGAAAATCCATCTATCGAAACTCTATCACATACTCTTTGAGTATAAGCATTGGAGAAGTTCATACAATGTCCATTTGCAATACAAATGGCATGCCCATTTGGGTAATGCATTATATTCCTCCCTTTATACTGTCCATTGAGATTCTGCGGGCTCTCACTACAAGGAAAATGGCTGCTAAGCCCACTGCCACAATGATCATGATTTAAATTATATTGCTCCGTGTTCTTGGCAATCCGTTCTCTCTGGGGCTGCAAGGTCTCCGCTGAGTTTTCTTGCTGCTCTTGATTATACATAAAGGTATCCTTGTGGGCTCTCGTCACCATGCCAATCACTTCCTCCTTTGCAAAATCAGAAGAAGGAGGAGAAGAGCTTTTGACGTTTTCTTGCTCCAGCTGAGGCTTGGGTCGCAGCTGTTCCTGGGCTGGTAAGGATGTCTGTTCATGATGTTCTACTAATGTGTCATTCTGTAAATGACCACTGAACTGGCTGTTCATCATGGTCTTCATCGCACTTTGCATTTCAATTAGCATCCTCTGTTTTTCACGCTTAGGAATACGACCAAACCGAACAGCTATTGAAGAAAAAGATATTTAACATCTATATTCTAAATAAGACCTGTTATACAAAAGGATAACACAAAATTATCTCTAATAGCTATGGCCTCTATTCATACAAGTTAAAGAGTATCCATATGTCTCTGGCCCAAATTATTCTAAATTTACAGGTTGTATTTGATGTACTAAAGGAAGTGAATATCTGATATCTGTCAATTTACTTTCATAATCTTATTCTCAAGACCCAAAAATACTCGACATTAAATGATCTGCTCCTTACTGGCTTCTTCAAAAAAAATCTTAGGAAAAAAATACCAAGGACAATAGAAATGCAGTTATCAAAAAATAAACGTGCTAGATTTTAATTAAAATCAATGAAATAAATAAAAATGAAATTGTTCATCCTCCATTATTTGAGGCTAGTCTTAGAATTTGTCTGTCTCCAACATTCCCTGAGGAAATAAAAAAACAAAAATCTTTCTAGTCTTTTATAAAGAGATAATAAAAATTCAATATACCCACCCAGCAAGAAAGCCTTACTAATCTAATTGTATCTCTGACATTATCAGACAAATAATTTCATCATGTTTCATACTCTACCTCTGCTTCCTCTCCTTCACAAATGATTGCCATTTTTATTCTTTTGGGGCAATCACAGTATCCATCAACTTTGGATTACTATTTCTAGTTCTATAAAAAATTTTTTGGCAATTACAAGTCCAAAACATTAATTGCTGAAATCTTTATTTTAAAAGCTCCTTATTGCAATACTGTATTTCTACGTAAGATACTAAAGTTAGAGTAACCTAAGGGGCTGTTTAAATGACCCTTCCCTAGATAAATGAGGTTCATTCTTAGCAATTCTTAATTAGCCCTATCTAACTAATCCCTCTGAAAACCTCCTACTCCTGTTATGTTACTTAAAACAGAATGAGACTATCCAAAGATGATTTCCCTAAGCACAATACAATCCAGTGATGTCATCCATAGATAATACTAACAGCACCATAAATTACAACTTTTATTTTCCATGGGAATGGATCACACCAGAATGGAGCAACCTTCTCCATTCCAGACTTTAATATTTCTTTCAATTTCACATGTCCTTTCAGTGTACTCAAAATCTGTGCCCTAAAAACACATTATCATCTCAGGGCTGAGAAAGCAATAGAGATAATCCACAAAGGGAGAAAAAGGTTCATCAGGAATGCTAAGAAATTAGGGAGAAAGAGTCATGGATTCCTATATCAAGAAAAACTAAATCTTTTTTATGGGGGAAAAAAAAGGAGTATTCAAATTGTACAGGGAAAAAAATGGGTCTTTTTACAAGAAGCAACAAAAAAGAAGTGAGCCAAAAGCTGTTTCTGGGGTGATGTCACTAAAACTTGACTTTAATGAATTTGGCATCCTACAAGACATCAAAATGTGTTTTCTAAAATCTGCTTCACCCTAAGCACGAGAGGGCCATTGATAACTGGTTTATAGCTCTGGTTTATGCTGAGGAATAAGAGCCAAGCTCCATATGCTTTAAGAAAGAATGCTCTTTAAACTGGGAACATACCATCTCTCGACATTCCAACAGACAGACACTTTTTGAAGCGACACTGCTGACATCTGTTCCTATTCATTCTCATTATAGAACAGTTTTCGTTCTTCAAGCATTTCTTGTACTGGATGTTTTGCTGAATGCTTCTCCGAAAGAAACCCTAAGAACAAAGGAAGATGTACCCATTTACTTAAAAGCATGCTTCCCACATCTTACTATCCAATATATTACTAGCTACATCTAGGAAATAATTTTAGCCTAGAACAAAGAGAAATATAATTTTGACACACAAATTTAACTGGATTCTTACCAGAATTAGTAAGCACCTACACCTACTAGCCAAACAAAACTTTTTCTTCTCTTTGAAGAATCTTGGTGCTTGCCAAAGCACCCCTTATCCTACACTTTACCCTGTCACCAGCCCCTGCCTGCAGCCACATTTTCCAGCTCATACTTTAATTACATACAAATTCCAAAACTCATGAAATATGACTGATGCTTAAAGAGTAGACAGGAAAAAAATGTGTTCCAGAGCTATAATTCCCTCACTGGAACTAGGGATTATGCTAGAAGAGCTTGGTCTTTCCTGGATCATTACCTGCTGACACCAGCAAGGCCTACTTACAAGTGCCAGATGTTCCTGGCTGCTTGTCAACAACAGGTAAGTGTCACACCACACACCCACAGATCAACTAATGATCCAAAGACAGTTCCCAGCTAGGTGGCTATAACTAACTAACTGCCTTTACTGCACAAATAATTTAAGTACATGCTCTGTGATAGGTATTCAAAGATCTCCAAGGAGAATAGGAAAGTCAAGAACACAATTACCAAAATTATTTCAAACTCCAGTTTCCTTGAATATCATAAGGAACCACGCATTTCATGAATCTATATTAGTAATTGTGGGATGCAACAGTTAAATATTACTGCACTACTGTAATTGGACACTACACTCTCTGAGCTAGATACACTATTAAGAGAGTATAGAACAATTATAAGTATTTATCAAGAATACACAATTAGGCACATTTGCTCATGCTTTTGTTTCTCTAGCTATAAAGTGAGAATGATGCCTGCTTTACAATTACTTCACATTTTTGAGAGGGGGAAAAAAGTGTTTATAAAATTTTTTAAATGGTGGGGGAAATCCTACAACTATATAAAATACTACTGTTGTTAAATGACCCAGCCATTAAGAGCTACCAAAATCACAATTCATTCAAAACCACCCTAGAAAACATTTCTTTCATTATGTACATTCATTATCTTGCTCACCCACCATATCTAGCCAAATGGGATTCCTGCTTCTGGCCTTCAGTCAGAGACAGCAAGAGCACGTGTCTTGGCCATGTTAAATTTGATACTAAGGAGAAAGGATTGTGCCAGATTTAAAGAGAGATATTCTCTGGAATAAGTAGGAGGTACAGACCATCTCACTTGGAATTATCTGACAGACGCTCTAAGAAATAGTCAACTAAACTTACAATGAGCTTTCCCAAGCCCTAAATTTACATTCAAGTTTCTTTTACTCAGTTGGTATTACTTCCAAAGATACCACATTTTTATAAGTATCTAGAATTATTCCCAACTCCTAGCACCTGACATGTCAGAATACCATGTCAGAAACCTATTCGAAGTCTGTTTTGCTTCCTGCTGTTTCCCACCACCTAGAACAGAGCCTGAAACATAATAAAGTAGCATCTGTGCACTTGATTTCATACCATAATTAAGTTTGAGTCAGAGAGCAAATTTATTTTCATCAAAATCTTTAAAAAAATACTTTCATTGAATTAAAAATACATTTTTCAAAACAGGTTATGTTTATATACTACGTAAAATGCTTTAGACTTTAAGAGGAGGAGCTGACTTCTCTCCTCCTCCCAGATTATCAACTGCGGAAACTGGCAAACCTAACTCCAATTTCTTTAATCCCAGAATCAGTAGCTTAAAGGAAACAAAAGCATGCTTTACCTTACAGCCTTCACAAGCATGAACTCCATAGTGGAATCCTGATGCCACATCCCCACAGACTTTACACAGCAGAACCATGCCACTAAATTCTAAGGCATGAACAGACACAAAAGTGAAAAGAGAGAAGAAAAATGTCAGCTGTTTGTTTTCTTACCAATAGAATATTTTATTTTGTTCTACTTAAGTATTTTAGAAGATACAAATCTATTTTCGTCATGTAAAAGAAAAATCTTTACACCAAATTAAATCAAAAGACATCATAGTTTCCTTTTAAAACAGTTCATGGGACTGTTGAAAATATCGCTGAAAAGCTGGTTTTGTCCTTTCCTGATGATTTTAAACATACCCGAAATTTTGTAAATCTAGAGTTACCTTACACCAGATATGCAACCAGAACTAAGAAAACAATTCTCTCAGATAAGCAGTAGCCAGGCAGAGAAGTCAGTCATCTGTCTTCACGAGCTGTACACTCAGCTCGATTAACCTCAGATAGGTCCTAGGCACCAGATAGGTCCTATTCCTTCCCGATCCTCCTCTATACCAGCCAGTCTTACCTCCACACTCACTCAGGGGTCCAAATTCCACTACTCATTTGGTTATCCCAATCCCAAATGTTCCTAGCTCCAACTTCATGAAGGCAAACCCCTTCCTTCTGTTCTAGAAACCAGGTTCAGTACTAGGAGTCCAGAAGAAAGATAATTGTGAAAATGTGGCAAAAAGGGGTACCCTAGAGCAGCAGTCCCCAACCTTTTTGGCACCAGGGACCAGTGCTTCTATGAGACTGTGATACCTGATGATCTGAAGTGGAGCTAAGGGGGTGATGTTAGTGCTGGGGAGCAACCACAAATACAGATGAAGCTTTGCTAGCTTGCCCACCCGCCACTCATCTCCTTCTGTGCAGCCCAGTTCCTAACAGGCCATGGACCAGTACCGGTCTGCAGCCCGGGGCCTGGGGACTCCTGCCCTAGAGGAAACATAGTAAGGTGCAGTGCATATCCACATATCTTGTTCTGTGGCAAGAATCAGTTATGACAGCCCCTAGAAACCCGTAACTTTTAAAATCATCACTGATTTTCTTACCCAACTACTAAACTATTATTACCTAGAAAGAAGTGAAAATTATACCCAAAAATATAATGGTTCCCCAAATGAAAAATTAATAAAGTAAGCCCCTCCTGCAATTAATGGCATCAACCTTTAGAAAACTAAAGTAACTTACTTGTCACTCCACTATGACTCTTTGTCATCCCAGGTGCACTGGATTTGCTTGTTTTCATAGAACAATCTATTCGATCATTCTTCAGGATGCCTTCAATATTGGCGAGATCACCACTTTTGGGATTACTATTGTTATCAGAATTAGAGCTGTTTGGAGAAGATGGAACAGAAGAAAAGGAGGACTGGAAACTATTCTCAGAACCCTCACTGTGACAAGAGGCAGGGCTAGAGGCTGAGCTGGAAGAACTTATGTAGGCAATCACACCTCCTAGAAAAGAGAGGAGAAAATCAGATAATTAGATACAATATACATTTTCTATTTTTGCCAATCTTAACAGTAAAGTCGCTAACTTTAGAAATTGGTTACTGGTTAAAGGTCTGCTTATCCCAAAAGGAAAAATAACTTATTTTCCTTATTTCCTACTATTCTTCTTGCCTCCACAAAGTTCAAAGCCCTGATTTAAAAAGTGAGAAGGCTCTCACTGCCTTGGTTATTCTGAGCACATACAGATCCAAACCTAAAGCTTTTCATTTTCCAATCTTTTCATAAAAGGAATGAAAAACTTTCCTGAGTGACTATATACCTTAGAGTAAACAAACTGTTGTGGCCACTAAGAAATCTGGTTCTGGTCCTCTCTTTACCTCCTTCATATGACACAATCCGAAAAACAATGAGTTCATCATCTGCCTCCTCCATCACTTGGCTAAAACACAGGTTAATTAAGAACAGATGTAACGTTTGGAACTCCAGACAAAGTAATTTATGTAATTCAAAATGGGGAACCTTCCATAGCTGTTGCTCCCAGAGTCTTTGTTTTGATGCTCCCCGAAGACCTCTACGACTGACTACCCACTAAACCGCAGTCCCACGCCCTGCCTTCTCCACCTACTTCTGCCACTGGACTTACAGACACACTTATCCCTAAGCAGCTCTTAAGGAATCCAGACTCACTACTTGTTCTTCTGACTCACTATTTACAGTACATTTTAAAGAGGCTGGAAGAATGCAGACTATCTGAGAATAACTTTTAAGGTTGAAGTTAATGCCCGCTTCACAGAGCTTCTCTCAAAACACTATTCACAACTTTATCAATATAACCACAACCCCTCTCTGAAAACTGATCTTGACCTCTTAGAGACTATAAACATTCCAGGTTAAGAAACAACATTTAAAATTATTCTTAAGGTATAATTACCAACTTCTTCCCTCAAAGAGATAAAATGTTGCAAGAGTAACCTCATGGCCAAATATATTATTGCAGTTTCTTTTTCTCTTCCCTCCATCATTAACAAACATTTATTGTCTTTTTCAATATATATCAGATCAAAAGTTAATTATCGCTCTTCCAACACGGTCCTGAGCTCTTATTTAAACCTCCTGTTTTCCTGTTTCCACCTATTTCTCAACTATACCTTAAGCACCTAGGTGCTTAGAAAGTGTCTCTTCATTCTCTATACATGCTTTACAGGTAATAAGCCTGCCATAAATATTTTTAAGACCTACTTCTCATCCTTTGTGAAGCCTGTATCTAATAGCATGGACAGATCCCAAACAGTATACAACATCACTAAGAAGCCGCAAGTAAAACGGCATTTCTGACAATTTGGACGACTACGCTGAGTAGTAAGTGGAGCATTTTGTACGTTCTCAAAGTAATAACTGCAATTTAAGCATTGGCTCTGAAATAAAACTTTCTCTGCTAAAGGGAAAGGCCTTCCCACTTTTTTTGGATAAGAGCCATACTTCATAAGTCATTTAAAATATACACGCACTCAGCAAAATCTGAGGCCAAAACAATCCCAAAGAACGAAAAGACATTTCCATGTAGAGAAGAAAAAAAAAGCAGAGGAATTTTAGTCTTTTAGTCACTTTTAGCCTGTCACATTGAAATTAGGTAACAGATATGTATTTAAGTACCGATTACATATATCCAGTCTGAGAAGCCCCTGAGAAGTAAGGCACAATCACAACTCTCAGGAAGTTTAATTACCGTCCAGAAGAGAAGTTAAAACAGGTGCCTACTACGCCAAGAAAAACACAACAGTGTTCATCATACACAGAATTAATATGCATAAGTGCAATGACATGCACTTGAGTTTTAAACAATGTGGACAAGTCCATGCACTTTTTCATTCATTAAACATATGCCTAGCATTAGTCTTGCAAGTGTGAATCTGCTCTTTCTATAGTATGACATTTTCCAAATGCTCCCTTAGCATGTGCTTATCACCTGCCCAGAATAATGCCAGGTCTTTATGATTACTATCTGTCCTGCAATGTGGTCCTTACTTATAAACCAGTCACTCAAAGTGTGGTCTCTGGACCAGGGACTTCAGCATCACTTGGAAATCTGTTAGAAACACAAGTTCTCAGGCCCCACTCTAGGTCTACTGAATCAGAAACTTTAATCGCTCTCTTGGTAATTCTGATGCACAGTAAAATTTGAGAACCACTGCCATGAAACCAGCTACTTCACCTATGCTCAATGGAAGAAAAAGTGGCCAAGGGTAATTTTAATAACATTTCATCTATCACTGATTTAAAAATCTAAAACCTTTTAAGCCTCCAAACACAAGGAGAAAAAGCTTCCTCACTTTGAGTTTATTCTCATCATCCATGAAGATTACATAAAATGCATACCATCAAAAAAACTTACTGGTTTTCCAAAATACACATTTCTAAAGCCCTGCCCATACGAGATAAGGCATCCTCGGGAATGGAGATTTTTAAAAGTTTCCAGGATGATTCGTTGTACCATGAAGTTTAAGAATGGCTACAATCAGTGAATTTAAACAAAAATTTGGACCATAGTTTTAAAAGTTGATGTTTTCATTGACATAACTGCCAGAATACCCTTAACATTCTGTGATTCCAAAAAGAAACAATTTTAACCTGGAAGCCCATCAAATATCATGTTACCAGGTAAAAACCATGGTGCTATCTGTTGTAATAAAACTTTAGAAATCTGAAGTTCACATTAGAAATTCTAGGTATTAACAATCTGCTACTTTTTTCACATGTCTCCACTCAGAATAGGATACAAGAAAAATATTATCCTTAATGCTGAATAAACTCCCAAAGGAAGGTCTCACCGGTACTTTTCTAAAATATTAGGTTAGGTAGTAAATTTACTTCCTAAAATCTCAAGAGGATAAAAGATGAGATGGTGATGGTTTTCCTTAGCAGACTTTCCAAGGGCCAGCATCTGAGTCGGCCATTTACATTGAGAAGGCCTTTGGACTACCCCAGCTTAGAAAAACCCTTTTAAAATCAGAGCTATCTCGATGGCTTAAGAACTAGTTTAAAGCACTGACTGGGCAATGGAAGGTATTATTATTACCCAAAACACACCTTCCTTCACAAAGGCTCCAAAATCAAACCTACGAAAAATTGTTGGGCTATTATCAATCTAGTTAAGACCCTATTCCTATCTTTAGGGCGTTCAACAATCGTTCACAACAAGAATTTATGCCAGGCACCATGGAATCAAAGATGACCCATTCAGAAGCAGCTATGGTCTCCTAGCAAGACCTTCTATACTGATTTGGTTGTCTTAGCATCTACTCTTGCTACCAGACACCAATCTAATGACCTGATGACTAACAAACCAAATGGGTTGAATTTTAATTTCCTAGAAGGAACAGAGTACACCTACTAGTTCCTCAACCCAATGAAAAAAGAAAAGTGAAAACTACAAGCCACCAAGTCCTTAATGAATGTCAAAAATAAAATGACACATTCACATCACATTTCATCCTCATTAAGAACCCTGTGAATTAATTTCCAGTATCCCATTTTACTGATGAGCAACTCAGAGCTCAGAGAGGTTAGGTAATACAGCTTGCTAAGTGGCAGTAATACAGTTCACCAGAGGGCAGACTATTATTTCTTACTGAGAAAACCTGGGCAAGCAAGTCACTTTCAATTTCTCTAAACCTGAGTCATCTTCTACAAAATGGTATTCATAGATGGGGATTATTAAAGTGCTTTTTACGCATATAAAGTTTTATAATAAATCAAGAAAGGTAAAATCTCTGAACCAGCAAGTCCCAGCACTTCCAGAAACAGGCAGAATGTACTTCTCAGATGCCTCAAGCTAAAATTAGGTGAGGCAGAGTCTTCTCTATTTTTAGCCGAAGAGGACCCTGGAGTTGGGCCAGGTTCCTAGGCTAGGGCTTACCCAGTGGTCAATTTCAGACAAGCTAGAAGTCAATATCGAATTTTGTCCAACTGAAAAGCACTTATATCCCTGTATATACTGGGGTTTTCTTACCCCAATTCTAGGCTTGCCCATCATCGAAATCCTCCCACTCCCACTGGAAAGCATGCTGGAGGTTCAAGTCATGACTGTACTCTTTTGCTTTGTGACTTACAAAGCAAAACATTTTTACCTCCAAGAAGTTTTAGTTTTCTCATATTAAAAGGTTATTAATAATTTCTAATCACAGGATGGGAAAGTAGATCTAATTGAAACACTAAACTTCCAACTGTGTCCTGAGTGCCAGGGCTCCAGAGAACAGTACTGCCCCTTCCCCAAAAGCCTTATAGACCAACTGGAGAAACAGCTATATTAACCATTAATTCCAGTGCAATGTGAGCAACCTTCATACATGATTGTGAACTGCCGAGGATCACACAAGAGCACTACACAGGGCAGAGATCAAGAGAGGCAAATACAGCCAAGGTGAAAGTAAGTGGGGTCTTGAAGAATATGATTGTAAATTATTAAATGATGTACCATGTAAGAGGTTATGTAAGAAAACAATAGGATGACAAAAAACAAATAGGTCTTATTTTCTAAAATAGTGTTTTGTCTCCACGTAAATTGCTGAGGAGTAGGGGCAAGTGTAATCTAGTGTCTGGCGGAAAAAAAAAAAAACAGATTGACTAGCAACAAGATTTAAACAGTAGAATGATGAAATTGGGAGGCCCTGCTGACGCCTGCCCTTTTCCGCCAGCTATGGCCCTATATCACTGCAAACGGAATAGGTCTACACAGGATCTCTTTCACCCCCAAGAAAACAGGACCACCAAGTTTTGTACATACCTTTGAACGCCATGCAGGCTTAAACCTATTACAGCAGTTAGCTTGTGCTCCTCAAGTGGACTTTGTGGATTCAAAATCTGGCTCTACCACTTGCCTGCATAAGTTATTTAACCTCAATTTACTTGGCCCCTCATCTTCAAATAGTGACAACAGTACATTCCTTCACAAAATTGTGAGGTATCAAAGTAGCAACACATGTAAAGGCCCTCCCACACAGTAAATGTTCTACAAGTATTGGTGACTATTACTTTACCATCATAATACTGGCAGAGTTCAATCAAAATAGTTGAAACAAAACTAACCTTCCCTGTTTCTTCTTTCCTTCAATTTCGAAAGTATCATATTGACCCCGTCATTTCTGTATTCTTATTTCCACACTAATTTCTGAATCCCTTAACTCCAGCAGCTTTCTACTTTCACTTCTGACTCCTCCCATTATTGTGCTGTTTCTCTCTCCAAGCAAGTATTTCTTTACCCTTACCTCCTTCTGATGTTTTCTTTCCAATTTTGGAGAAACATAGTAGAATACAGCTTTGTAAAGATATGAATGAACTACGTGGGAATGTTTTCCTAATTTTTAAAATATGAGTTACAGCCTTGGTTAATGCAATGAGTTATTTAAAGAATATGGTATAGTCAATAAAAACTTGTGATAAAATTGTATGAGTCAATTTCTACCACTTCTATTTCATATCTGAATTAGTCATGGAGGGCAGAGACACAGTATGTCATGAATTATAGGGCAATTAGATGAAATGGTCACTAGCTGAATGTGAACCGACTAATACAATGATATCGACCCCAAATTAAAGGTCAGAGGTGTGCCACACAGCACTGAATTTGGCCCCACCCTACTCAATATTTACAACAATTTGAAGAAAGTTAAAGGGAATGTTTATCAAAGCTCTGACAGATAAATGGCAGAAATTGTTAATATACTAACAGCTTGTGACAGCTTGAACTTGGAGCCAAAAGGAACAAGAAAAAATTTTAAGAAAGCCAATTGCAAATTCCTCCACTTCAGGTCAATTATCCGCACAAGGGATGAAATCTAGCTTCCAAACAGTTCACATGAAAAGGTCCTAATTGACTACAAGGTTACTGTGAGTCAGCAAAGCAATATGCCACAAAAGAGCCTGCCAGAGAATTCATTTGCACCAAAATCCAAAACTTCGAACTTGCTAACTGTCCAATCATTTCCGCAGAAGCCTGTTCACTTCTCGGTGCTAAGCCCCAAGGGCAACAAGGATGATGATCAAAACAAACAAACACCAACAATGAGTAAGAACCAAGGGATGAGAACTGGAAGTGGAAGAACTGGAGGGATGGGGGTAACGGTCCTCCAAAGGAAGTTTTATAATTTGTAGCTCCAAAAGTCAAGAACAATATTAGTGATATTGTTCCACAAAAGTTCAAACCAGAGAAAAACTTTCTAATCACTTGAGCCTGTCCATATTTGAGGTTTCGAAGTAGGAAAAATTTATTAATGCTAAAAGCTAAGTTAGAAGAGATTAAACCTGATAATCTCCATATCCTATCAAGTAAAAATTTGAATTCTATGATAAAGTTATCCATTTTTAAAAAATATCCTCAAAGGCCAAGGAGGCCCATAGATAATTAAGTTAGAGAATGACTTTCACTGTTGGTAGAAAATTCATAACACATTTGTTATCAAGGCATGGTTTCAGCATATAACAAAAAAAATTAAAACTAGCTTATTCTGTAGCCTCACTGGCTTCAGGTATAAAGGACATCATTTGTTTGTGGGCAGACACAATGGGAGAAAGAAGGCATTGTTCTGGGGCAACATAACAGGAAATGTAACAAGAAAAAAAATTGTAAAGCCAAATTCTGTCGATTAGGTCCAGGAAAGGTCATTCACAGATAAGTTTTTTAAAAAATTAACTGGTCTACAGCTATGCCAGTCTGAACAAGCCCAATCTCATCTGATCTTGGAAGCTAAGCAGGATCGGGCCTGGTTAGTACTTGGATGGGAAACCACCTAGGAAGACCAGGCGCTCTAGTCATCAAAAAAAAAAAAAAAAGAAAGAAAAAAATTAACTGACAGAACAATGCCCACTATTACGTAAGAGCTCGGAGTCACTTAGGATCATCAGAGTCATCCGGACCGCACGTGAGCTGAATGATTAGCTATGGGTGTGACCCGTTTACAGTGAGGCTCACGGCCCAAGGGGACTTTCAGCCAGTTTTTATGACTGAAGTAATGTAAGATAGGTCGTGTCCTAGAAGAAACCTTTTTTTTTTTTTTTTTTGAAACCGTGAAGCAGCATAACAAGAGTAGGTTTAGTCCCAACTGCCTGGCGCTGCTTGGGATCTAAGCACCTCATAGCCCTTGGAGGGTCTTGTGGGAAGCCCCACGCCTGCCCCCAGCACTTCCTTCCGTCCGTAGCATGACCTGGACACGCAATTCTTCCCCACTATCCGCAAGATCTGCGACCAGTCCTTCCGCATGGCCCCAGCTCCGCGCATCGGGGTCATTCCCGGCCGTGCGGGCCTCGGCGGGTGCACTGCGGCATCCGCGCGCGCCCCAGGGCCGCCGGGCCGCGGGTTTCACCGCCAGCGC